GGACATTGGGCTTATCCAATGAAATTCCTCAGTCTTCCTTGGCCCGCCACTCGGGAAAAACTACGACAACAAAAACTAAAAAGTGCGTAAGCCCGATATGTTAATTACCACACAGTAACGTCACGGATGGTATTACTGAAATGTGTCTAGTCATTCTAAAACATTTTTTAGAAAAATGTAAAGGCGGGGAGGAAGGGAAGCTAACATGAGAGGCGGGTCGGGAGTAACGCATGTAACATGAGCGGGGAGGGAGAATATTTGTGGGAAATACTAATACGGGAGCGAGGCGGGAGAGGGAGGTAAATACAATCGTTTCCCAGAAAAAAATAAAAAACCGGAGACTTGACAAGTATTGGGATAACATAGGAATGTTGACAGCCCGTGGAATTAATAATGAACACGTTTTGAGATATTTTAGTAGTAAGAATAATTGTGAACTTAAAATAGAAAGGAACAACAAATAGAACAGATAGAAAACAACTATTGATACTATTTAAAAATGTTTTAGAATGACTGGACACATCTTCAGTAAATACTATCTAGGGGAGTTGCTGCCAAAATGTGGAAAAGTTTTTCGATAAAACGTTGTTACCACCTAATTTTTCACTACCTTCAGCAAAAACACCTGGACTCTTCAATCCTGGACTGGATTATTCTGCTTTAATAGCAGAATATTTAAAACCAACTTTGTGATTCGTGAAACCTTCATCTGATTTGCAAAACTTCAATAAAGGGCAATATCACCTAATTTTTCATGACCTTCAGCATTTTTTATCTACTCTAGTTATAAAACTACAACACCTAGATTCTTTAAACCTGGACTGGATTATTATCAACTAACAGAAGAATATTTAAAACCATGTTTGTGATTTGTGAAACATTTATCACAATTTCCATAAAGGTTCACAAATCCTACTCTTGGTTTTAAATATTATGCTGTTAGTTGAGAATAACTCAACGCGGGCTTGCAGAGTCTACGACAGGAAGTGAAGCAAGATCTGGTGTGGTTTACATGCAAAAACAGGATGAAATCACCCTTTATCGAAGTTTCACAAGTCGGATAAAGATTTCACAAAGTTGGTTTTAAATATTCTGCTATTAGAGCAGAATAATCCGGTCCAGGATTGAAGAGTCTAGGTGTTGCAGTGTTTTTGTAAACTTAAAGATGTTTAAGGTAGTGGAAAAATTAGGTGAAATTCCCCTTTAGTCTTTTTCTTGAATCAGAAGCTGCAATCGGAAACCACCTTCAGTTTTGTTCACGTATAAGCAGGGGTGTCACACTCCAGTTCTCAAGGGACGCTGTCCTGCAGTTTTTAGATGTGCCACTGATACAAAACACTGGAATGAAATGGCTTACTTACTGCCTTCTTGTGTAGGTAAGTTCTCCCGAGCTTTGCTAATGAAATAATTATTCTATTCAGGTTTGGTGCAGCAGAGGCACATCTAAAAGTTGCAGAGCAATGGCCCTCCATCTATGACGTACATTGCTTTCACTCACACTTTTTTTTTCTTTTTCTTTTTTTGTTCCTTTCTTCCTCCTTGCCGATGAAAAAAAACAGATGCTTCTGAGAACTAGAACATGATGAGATGAGTTGCTTCCGTTGACAAGATGAAACTGGATTAAAATATTAGTGGGTGGTCTTCCAGACCCTGAAAATGATATTTCTGCCTGTGGTGCATGTAATCTCAGTTCTAAACTAAAACATGTGCCAGCGTTGCTGCTCCATCCTGTGGGTGAGTGAAATAGTTCAAGCCTTGTAATTTTGATCGTCGTGACGTCCAGGTAACCCAAATTAACTAAGTAAATTTGTAAAAAGTAAAAAGGTTTTTATAAATTTAGACTACACAATCTTAGTTGCAGAGGAAACTGGTATTCATTGAGCTTTGACATAAACTGAGCTTCATAAATGCAATTGCAAATTTACTTTTGCAATGATTAAACATGTTGCTCTTGAAATATTTCAGTTACATGTTTAGTCAGTTACTTAGTTCTATTACTTAGCTACCCAGAATGCCTTAGTAATTGTAGTTTGAGTGCGACTGTTTGAGGAAGCAGCCTGTTTCAGAGGAAGTCCACAGCTGTTTAGAAATAGTTGAGACCAATTCGGGCACGGAGTCAAAAATTACAGTGAAACTTCTTAGAGTTCCTCATCTTGGCCTCTCTGAGTCATCCTTACGATGTGCTGAGACAAGTCCCAACTCCAGGACGGTTGATTACGCTCTGTAACTGGACATAGTGATTGATTGATACAGACTGATGATTGTAATGTATCAATAGCTGCTTTGAATTAGGGACTAAACTGAGTTAAGCTTGACCTTTTTTCTCCGGTTGCAACACCATTCTCCAAAGAAATGTAAATATGTAATCAAAGCTGTGCTTCTAGCACATTATGTAAAAATGAAGTGATATTTGGTAACACATTGAACCTTGAGTGTTAAATATTGTCTTTAGGTGACCTTTGTTGCAGATTTAGTTGTGTATGACTGGTCAAGGTTGGACAGCGAGTAACCCTCTCGGGTTTTTTTCTCTGTTTTTTCTTTATTTCAGCACCAGGAAATGTCCCTAATGAAAGGAGGCATTTGTAGGCCATTCAGGCCTTCGAAGTACGGCTCCATCGCCCTGTTCACACTTTGCAGCATCTTACTGTTGTTGCTGTATAAAAGGAACATTGATTGGACGTCTGTCAAACCAACGGTGAGCATTCTTTTGATCTAAACTGAAGTCAAAGCAACGCTAGCTAACGTAGCTTTATTTTTGGTGGTTAACTTTAGTCATTTTTAGTCAAGTTGCAGAAATTTTAGCATGACACTCTTGAACATGAAGGTTTTGAAATATCAGCTCTATTGAGGTCTTGGCTTTAACTGGGTCATTGGAACAACTTTTTCTTGCGGTTTTGTTTGAGGTTTGCTCTTCTACGCCCTCATTGTCGTCCTATTGAGGTCTCTCACGTGATGTTAGATTGCTGTGGCATGAAGAGCAGGTCATTGTAGATTGGATTACTACATGTTGCCAGGTTGCTGTTGTTGTAAAACCACCATGTTTGACAGTTGAGCTGAGTATGCTGATTTGCCAATTGCGTTTCTTTTTTGGCAAGTGTTTGCAAATCTGATGTCATATTCTTGTGTAGATGGAGTTTTTGTCCTTTGTCAGATTAGCCATGCTTGTTGATTTTTGTAATTATGCAGTCATGAAAGGCAATGCTTATGCTGCTGATTAAGGCTAGCAGATTCTAGGATGCTGCTCTTTCTGCTATTTCTTTAAACAATAAGATGCATGAGATGGACAAGACTCCAATATTTTTAAAAAATTAACGTCCAGTTGAAACGTAAGATTTCAACTGGATCTTTTAAATTAAGTATTTCAAAAAGGATAACTTTTATAAATTTGAAATGCCGGCTGAAATACTGGCATCACCTGAGAGTGATTGGTGTAACTTTAAATTAGACTGGTCAAAAATATGAAGGCCTATCCATTTGTTTTACATATAAACTGCAAAACTTTTCCCTTCCAGAATAAAGTCAGTTTGAAGCCGACCGCCCAGCCGGTCAGCACCTGCTCCTTCGATTTGCTCTCACCTGAGGAGCTTCTGGTCTTTGACTCACTAAGAGACGTCATTTTGTGGCCTGAAACGCCGTCCTTAAAGTCGAACTTTTCCCTGAATGACACCAGTGATCCCCGTCAGAGCAGCTTCACCATTCTCCCAAGGACCGGAAGGGGAAACTGGCGAGTTGGGGATCAGCTGCACGTTTCCATAAGAATCAGAGACTTCCACGGCCGTCCTAAGAAGTCTGGAGGAGATGTTCTGCTGGCTCGGCTTCACAACAGTACTTTTCATGCTGGGGTGGCAGGACATGTGGTGGACCATCGCAACGGCTCCTACTCTGCCTTTTTTTCATTGCTCTGGGAAGGACGAGCACAAGTTGAGGTAAGTTAGGCCTCAGCCTGGCTTTCTAACTTTTAAGGGTAAATAAATATATTTGGTTAAAACTTCATAAGCTCAGGTTTCATTTGCCAAGCATACAGAAGGATGTAAGAAGATAGTTTATAATACTAGATCCAAGAGACTGCGATAGAGTTAATCAATTTCCATAACCGTCCGGGCTGACAAATCCATATTTGATGGTATATACTTTATGTTTTCGTAATGTTGGTGGAATATATGTATATGTTGATACTTCGTTTCCTCAAACACCAGTTAACTGTCAGAGTTAAGTGTTGTGACTAGTAAATTTTGTACTATTTAGGATTGTTGCGTCATTTAGCTTATTTAAAGTTCTAAAATCACTCTTGACAAAGGTTTATTTTTTCCTGTGTGTGTGAAAGTTTCTGTTTTTTCCCCAACAGGTAGTCCTAGTTCATCCCAGCGAAGCAGTCACAGTGCTGCAAAAATTGACCGAGGAGCAGCCTGACAGAATCTATTTTAATAGTCTGTTTCAGTCAGGCTCGGTCAGTGAAACCACCATTTGTAATGTGTGCCTTACCGGAACCCAGCAAAACTTCTGCAAGTACACTGACCTCAGGACGGGTGAGCCGTGGTTCTGCTTCAAGCCACACAAATTGGATTGTGATGCCAGGATCAGCCACGCCAAAGGAGGATTCAGACAAAACCTTCAGGCCACCGAGGAGAAGCTCTTTCAGTGGTACGGTACTTCATTAATTAGGTGCAAAAAATGTTTTACGGTTAAAAGTCAAAAGTTTCCCAGCTGTTAGCTGTGAAAACGCCTCATTCCGCTCCACCTGTGGCTTTCACCCAATTTCAATGACTTCTTCTCAGGCTTGCCACACTAACAAATGTTGCTGGACGATAAATTGCCCCAGAAATGTTTGCAATAAACTACCATTGTTTTGAGGCAATTTTCAATTACCGGTGAAATATTGATGAAGGCATAATCAAAAAAAAATCAAAAATCAAATCAAATTTTATTTGTATAGCACATTTCAGCAGCAAGGCATTTCAAAGTGCTTTACATAATTAAAATAAAAACAGCATGTGAGAAAGAGTTTTAAAAAAAAAAAACATCATTAAAATGCAAACTGTGAGAGAGAAATAAAAAGCTGTCTCCAACAGCTCCAACAGAAATAATGCAAGTTTTCCTTCTCAAAGACGAAAACTTTACTTTTGTACAGAACACTACTCAGTGGAACTGAAAGACATTTTAAATATTTGGAAATAAACATCCAGACACAAATAAGAAAAAAATAAAAACCACACACAACAGAAAGCATGAATAACAGTAGATTATGAAGTCGCTAAACAAATTGGCGTTCAAAAAATATCAATAATCAGAATGGAAATGATCAATCTCATTTTAATTTATATGCCACTAATTGATCACTTATTGTGACACGCTTACTACTTCAGTATGTGTATGCAGGCATATTCAATATCTGAAGGTTTTGCTTTTAGGAATGCTGTTTAATCATATATATATATATATATATATATATATATATATATATATATATATGGTCGAAGAAGTACTCATTCCGGAGGGGATCAAAATACCTCATCCTTTTCTTGAATGAGGTATTATATAGCTTTGAGGTATTGTATAGCTTTGTTTTGATAAATGCAGGGTATTGGTACTTAGAGTGTATAGCTAAAAAATAAAATCTAATGGCAATATAAGTGGTGTAAATGTTTCATAATTTGCTAATTGGTGGATAAATTCAGTAATTATGATTGCTACTTGCTGTTTTGTTTTTAGTGGTGTCAATATGAAAGTCTCCATTCCAGCCTTAGGACCCGAAAATATCGATGTTTTACCAAATCCAAAAGGTAAACCCCAGGGTTGGCCTTTTTTCTTCTTCTTTTTCTTTTTCTTTTTTTTTTATATATATCATGTTTCTTATTATTTCCCTCCTAGTTCAGAAGATCGACGTCCCTATTTACAGACGTGACACAGATTTTATTAAACTCTCCTTGTAATCAATTTAACGTCAGGGCTACGGATTGGAACGGTTCACAACTTACCTGTTAACTGAATCAATGTGACTATGATTTTAAATTGAGCAATCTTTGAGTAGAATTACAACATAAGGCTTGTGAAAGTGCTGTTACTTGACAGTTACTTGATTTTTTTATTTTATTTCTGAATCCTCCAGATGGAAAAGGAATGACTGTCAAGGCCCGCCCCTCTGGTTATTACTACAAGGGCGCCTGGCAAGCACTAGATGGCACCAGAGTACATCAGTTTAACTCCAGTACAATCAGCCAGTGTCTGAAAGGCAAAGCTGTTCACATCTATGGAGACTCCACTGTGAGGCAGTGGTATGAATATTTAACCAACTCGTTACCAGGTATCTCCCCAGCAAGATTTCTCAGTGGTTAAAACCGGCTCATGTTGCAGTCTAACATGTTGTGTCTCTTCTAAGATCTCAAGGAGTTTGACCTTCTAACCTCAAAGCAAAGTGGACCTTTAATGGCGCTGGATTATGTGAACAAGATTTTAGTGACGTTCCGCAGCCACGGTCCTCCCATCCGTTTTGCCAGCTCGCCTGTCAGCCAGCTACATTACGTCGCCAACGAACTGGACAGCGTGATTGGAGGCACCAACACCGTTGTGGTTATCGGTGTCTGGTCTCACTTCAGCACTTTCCCCGTCGAGGTCTACATCAGGCGTCTGCTGAATATTCGGAAAGCGGTGGTGAGACTTCTGAGCAGAGCTCCGGGTACCACTGTCGTCATCCGGACTGCGAACCCAAAAGAGATGACGCTTTATGAGAGCTTGACCAATAGCGACTGGTTTTCGCTGCAGCGGGATAAGATACTGAGAGAAATATTCAGAAAAACGAATGTCCGACTGGTAGATGCTTGGGAGATGATCCTCGCCCATCACCTTCCGCACAAGCTCCATCCAGAGTCTGACATAGTCAAGAATATGATTGATGTTCTTTTATCTTTTGTATGTCCTGTTGCTGACTTTTAGAGGAGTTTTCTTCCATTTCTATTTCTCCTCAAGATCCTAGAGGAAAGTAGAAATGGATTTTAGGCGATAGAGATTGGAATTGGGGAAAATGTTGGCAGTAGCGTTTCAAAAACTTCTTCCGGTTTAGGACCACCTAACCTTTCTGACACAACTGTTATTGTTTTGTTTTGTTCGGAAATAATCCTACCAGATTTCATTCTGATACAGCTAGCATCCCCTGCTAAAGCAACATTAGCATATGTTGGCTGAGAAAATGATTGAACTGTTGTCTCCTACGACAGTTAAGAGGTCAATGTGAGTTAATTTGTACTAGTGTCGCACATAAATGACCAGTGTCAGTCTAAACCAGTGGTTCTTAACCTTTTTTGAGGTACC